TTCAGAGAGCCTTAGATGATATTCTAAGGGATTTCATTGGGAAGACTTGGTATGTCTATATCGATGACATAATAATCTTTACCAAAGATACAGAAAGTCATCTTAAGCATCTAGAGGAAATATTTTCCTTAAAAAATCGACAAATGCGATTTTTTATGGAAGAAGTAGAATTTTTAGGATTTATTGTTTCAGGAGGAGGGGTGAAGGTAGAGGCAATAACGAACTTTCCATATCCAACCAATTTACGAGAGTTGCGTTCACTCCTTGGCCTTTTTAATTTTTATAGAAGGTTCATAAAAGGATTTTCCGAAATTGCCAAACCCCTTACTAACACGCTAAGAGGAGATAATCCAATAGAGCTAAAGGTGCAGTTTTAAGTCAAGAAGGACGGCCTGGGACATTTATATCCAAAGCCCTTTCTGAAGAAGAAAACTATGCCACTAACGAGAGATGTTGGTCATAGTCTAGTCTCTCTACAACCTTAGGAATTATATGGGACTGCCAAAGTTATAATCCATACCGACCACCAACCATGGAAGGCAATACTCGAGGAATATAACTATGAAATCAAATACAAACCTGGAAGTACAAACGTAGTAGCTCACGCCTTATAAAGGCCACCTATTTCAAGTATTCATACCTTAACGGGATCGGTACATCAAGAATCAAGATATTCCTGATGATAGGCGAAGAAACGTCATACCAATTTCAAATAGTATTTCCGGTTTATCATTGGCATACCATTGTAAAGATGGAATTTACTGCATTGTTAAAAAGATATCTAAATCCTTCTGTTATTACTGGGATAAAAACACCAGAAGAAGTTATGGGAAAAATCCAAGAAATATATTTACAACATTTTGTCAATAGTAAAGCCCGTTTCACGCCAAAAATAGCCGTGGACATTACATCAGAATTTATGGAAGAAAGCATAATTATTGACACCTATAAGCGCACATCGTACCGCTGTTGAAAATAAAGCTCAAATCATGGAAAAATATTATTTCCCAAGTATGATGAAAAAAATTAAAAGAATTGCGAAATTATGTACCATCTGTAAAACAGGAAAATATGACTGACACCCCAATGACCCCAAATTAAGCGAGACTCCTATACCAACATATCCAGGGCAGGTAGTTCATATAGATATCTTTTCAACCGATAAAAAGCTAGTATTGACTGCCATAGATAAATTTTCCAAGTACGCACAGGCTAGAATTTTAAACGGCAAGTCTGTGGAAGATATCAGAAGATCTCTACGGGACGTGATATTTTTCTATGGAGTTCCGAAGACTATAATTATGGATAATGAGAAGTCTCTTAACTTATCTTCTATTTTATTCATGGCGAGAGACGAATTAGGTATTGAAGTTGTGACAACACCACCATATAGAAGTGAAGCTTATGGACAAGTGGTGGAAATAACGAGATGTCTAAAGCAGGAAAAAATTTGTAGAAACATTGAGGAACTATTAGAAAAATCAGTGAACGAATATAACCATTCAATTCATTCAACCATTGATAGGAAACCAGTAGATATTTTCTTTGGGAGGACAGCAGAATTCTCTCCGGGAAGCTACGATAGAACTAGGCAGACAAACATGGAAAATATCAAGGAAAAACAACAAAAAGACATGAAATATCACAATAAAAAGAGAATAGATTTCAAAGCATACATTCCAAGACAAACAATAAATAAAAATTAACAAATGTTTAGGTACAAAACTTACTGAAAAATACAAAGAAGACATTGTAAAAGAGGATAGAAATTCACCATTTGTTACCGAAAATGGAAGAATTGTGCACAAAAAATTCATAAGAAATTAATCCGACAAAATATTTTGCAGGTTTCTACTGGCATGGGAGAATTTCGTGTTTTGGACTATTAGCAAGGTTCAAACTGGAACATACATACTTGTGCACATGGTTGACTTAGGAAATTACAAGAATATAATACAAGATTTGGAAGCTAGCATCTGGCAGAACAACGTAGAGCATCATCCGCTTCTAACTTTCCTTCACCATTGCCTTTCCCAAATAAAATCCTGTATCTACCGTTTAAAACCCAAGATAAGGTCAAAGAAATCTATTGACTTCTTAGGAAGTGCATGGAAATGTTTGGCTGCATCACCAGACCATCATGACTTCCAGATAATTCAAGAAAAAGTAAACAACGTATTGGCAAATAATAATAATCAAGCCATAATTAATCAGTTGTCCATAGAGAGATTTTATTTAATTGCTAATGTCACTAACAAAATTTTAAAGGACTTAAACAATAGTATGGAAACCTCGATAGAAAAAATAACGGAATTGAAGTACAGATTGGAAATCGTAAAAGAAGAAATTTTTAATGTAGAATTTGCCATTGAATGGGCGAAGGCCGGTATAATCAATTCTTTTATATTTTCTAAGGTTGAAATTGATTTACTACAAAAGATATTTAACAAATCGGAAATACCTTTCAATAGTGTTTACGAATTACTAAAATTCGCAAAAATAAAAGTAGCATCTGATTCAGAAAGTTTAATTTATATTGTAAGCATCCCAACAACAAATAATGAGAATTGTAATTGTAACATCCTTAAACCTGTAAAATTTGCAAATTCCATTTATAAAATAAAATTCAATGAAATATTAATTTGTAAGAATAATCTATAAGGCATTAAAAATAAATGCGACGGTTATGAGAACCTGAGTATCTGCAGCGAGGAAAATACAGAGACTATTAAAGATTCAGATTGCATATCCGATTTACTGCAGAGCAAACCATCCACGTGCGCAGTTACAAATAACGATGATATTCCATCCGTAGAACAGATCAATGAAGACTTAATATTTCTGAACCAATATTCAGGAGAAATTTTGATAAATGACTCCCCTTTAACTTTAAACGGAACATTCATTATTCACCATGCGGAGACAAATGTTACCATTGATGGATGGATCCTATTATGCAAAGAATGAAGCTGGAATAAAACCATTAGCGGCTCTGGTACAACCTAAGGAAGCTGACGTACAAATTGAAACCCTATCCCTTGAATTCATGAAATCTATTTCTTTAAATAATACCAAAATAATAGAAACAATACAAAAAAGAGAACGAATCAATGTTGGAATAGGCACTGTGATTTTTTTTACACTAACCATCATAATAAACAAGCGTAGCATAAAAATAACTACATCCGAAAAAGAAGACAAATTAGAGGAGATCACCACATCAGATACACCATGTCCATCGGCTGCCAAGAGGGTCAAAAGCCTAAAAAAATCCCGTTTTTCTAACAAGGTGATGAAAATATGTTCATACGAGGACGTATGAATTTAAAGGGGGAGGAGTTAAGGAGCAACATATTCATAATATTTTTGTACTAAATATGATCAGTCATGTGAACAAGTAGTTCAAATAATTCCCATAATAAATGATATCATTTTACACTATGGGAATAACTTGTTTGCTTAAATAAAACTGATAACACAGCGCACGTGTCGACAATGCAGTGAGAGCGGAGTTGGCAGAGACAGTAACACCACTTGCAGCGAAGCTAGCTTAAGATCATAAACTGTTAATTTTAGTTTAGTTGCCATTTATAATTAATAAAACGAAGACGTGTTGATTCTCAGCACGAAGTCTTTTTTAAAAATTAAAAATAACGTAAAAAAGTTTAACTTATATACCAACGGGCGATGGTTGCTTTGTTCATTTTTATACAAAAGGATTATGCTTTCACTGAAATAATAATTGTAACTGTACATAAAGAAGATCATTAAGAGCCCAACGATCATTTGCGATCCACGTGAAAGGGTAAGCACATGAGCCTCTGACGCCATAAAGATAATTTGTTGTAGAAAAAAAGACATTCAATAAACCAGAAAATCCCATTATTAATAAAAATATATAATATGAAAAATTTTCCCACATTTAATGAGCACCATTCCGAATTACTAAAACATATTGGGAATTTGGGAATCCGGAAACAAGAGTTATACGAGGGCGACCGGAAAACCCCAAAGAGAAAACAAAATACCACATTACAGCCTATTCGATTGAAATCGTGTCCAAAATAGCCAATATTGTCCAAAATAACCAACTCAAACTATCAAATTTCGGCCAATTTGGTTGATCCCCATAATACCGAATATTGGGCCTTTTAAGATCATTGGTCTCTATAAAAGGACATTTTTAATGAATTTGGAACACAATTGATATTTCTCCTATAAACGAATTTATTATTGCTAGGATTGGGTTGCTGACAAATAAAAATGGAAATAAAGGTATTTAGCGTTAACGTGAGATACGACATATATTAATGAAAAATGATTTCCCATTGAAAACAATTGACGAACTACTAAAATCCTGCAAATCGGAAAATAGATCCAAAATTGAAAAAGAAGAAAAATCGTACAAGCCAATGACATATATACCAGGACTTTCCGAGAGATTGAGCAATTCAAATATCTATGACAAACACAATTATCAACTAGCCCTAAAATAGTATCAATAGCCTATTCACTGACACTGACTGACACGGACCACTGTGCACATATGTATAGAAATTTAGTTCATAAGCATAAGCACGAATTAGAGTCTAGTTTAGCATAGACGGTGTAAGAAACCAGTAGCTTCTCTCACAAGGTAATATATGTGTTTTATTATTCTGTAAAAATCTTATTAAATAATTGTATTTTTAGTATTTCCCTGAAGATGACTGTCGAAGACAGTCGAAATATTGGAAAATAAAAATAAGAAAGCAGAAAACAAGAAAGTTGAATAAACTAAAAAAAAAATAATAATCAAAAACTGTTTTAAAATGTTTAGTTCTTACAAATATATATATTTAGTTCAATTTACATTAAAGACACGCATGTAGAGGGTAACGTTCGTAAGCTTTTTGGGACGACATTATTTACGTTATTGTTGGTAAAATTTGTTAGAATATTAGGCAAATTATTCGGCTTGGAGGAAATATATTTGGAAAAGGTATAACGTATAAGCTTACCGATTCTGCAGGATCTATTATATAAACACCTCTTTCATTTACAGCTATCAAAACATTAACATCTTTGGTATTTAAAAAATGTTTGAAACCATGCATTGACTGCTCTATTTGCCCGTAGAAATAGGCAGCCCTGAAACGAGAACATGTTCATATACCGATTTTTATCACAAATTAAAAAAACATACCCATAAAATGGTAATGACCAACAAAATTCCAAATATTTTTTTATTAATTTCCTAGAGTTTGCGGTATGTGGAACGCGCTTAAATTGCTCCAAAAGCTTAAGTTCGGCGGAGTTTTTGCGACTCAGAGGAAGCCATGATAGACTTGAACATTTAGCCACGCTTCTAGGTAAAAAACGAAACTGATTCTCTCTAAAAACAGAGACAAATAAGATAATATGTACAACCATAAGAGAGCACTAACCTGAAAAATCCAGTTGTATGCGTATTGGAATTAAATGGCCCAAGTTCTATTCGTGCCTGTATGCCTCCTAACATAAGGGCATGGATGGGTTCCATTACGTAACGTCCACACAGTACATTATATTTGGCTTCTTCATATAACAGTTCCAGTATTCTGTGATCTCTGTAAATAAATATTTTATTTTTAAGAGTAAACAATTATTTTAGTACAAATACCACAAAATACTTACTATATCCATATACATATATAATATAATATCTAATTCAGTTTTCCCATCTAACCATGCATATAATATTATACAATTATGTAAAATATTTCATATTAGGCGAAAATTTCGTTTTCATTACGTAATGGGAGAACCGTCTACATACTTTATTTTGCATTATAAAATAAGCAAACAAAGAGCTTAAAAAATAAGCTAAGCCGTCTGCAATGGACCTAAGTCGAAGATATATTAAAATCATTAATAGCCTTGAATTACATATGAAATAAACGCAGGCGTGGGATAAACGTAGGCGTAGAAGGGTACGAAAAGTACTAAAATGTACCAAACATGGTACCCTTTGTATTAGGCGAACGGGAAGAGCTAGAATTCTGAAATTTGGAATGTGGGTCACTGATGGAAAGTTAGAAAGATGTACAAAAGTTTAGTTCAAATTCTACATATATTGAACATATATAGCTAAAATCATGAAATTTTATATAGAATACAGGTGGTGTTGATGTATAGAAATGGTTTAAGATTTTCGTACTTATGTTGTTTACAAAGTACTAAATGGTACTAAATTTGGTACTATTTGTATTTAGTTGAGTGTATATAGATGGAATCCTGAAAATCGGAATTAGGACTACTGTTAGAATACAGGATTGAGGTAGCTTTAAAAAATCGTGCCTTTGTGTACGAAAAGTACTTAATGGTACTAAATTTGGTGCAAGTTGGATTTCGGTTCACATATAGAGCTGGAGTCTTGAAATTGGGAATTAAAATGACAGTTTTGGAAATTCGCACTTATTGGTACGAAAAGAACTAAATCGTACTAAATATTGTACAATTTGGATTTTGCTTAAACGGATGAGCTTAAAACCTGAATTTTGGAATTCTGATTACTGTTGAAGATTGAGCTATAGATACATCTGTGGAAATTTGTATTTGTGTGTACGAAAAGTACTAAACGGCACTATATATGGTACAATTTGGATTTGGGTAAACGGAGAGAGCTGGAAACCTACAATTTGGAATAATGGTTGCTTTTAGAATATAGAATTAAGGTATGGAAGCATAGTACGTATGTGTACTAAATGGTACTATATTTGGTACAACTTGATTAAGTGGATAGAGTTGGTCTCCAGAATTTTGGAATTAAAATTACTTTTGAAGCGTAGGATTGACGTAGTTTAATTATAGAAACAAAAAGTAGTAAATGGTACCAATGGATAGGGTTGAGATCCTGAAATTTTGATTAAATTAATATTACTGTTGGAGTGCAGGATTGAAATATGTCGGTAGTTTTAAAAATTTGTAATTTCGTGTACTAAATGGTACTAAATTAAGGTAGTATTGGAATTTCGTACTCTTGGATACGAGAAGCACTAAATAGGGTACAATTCGTTTTGTGTGAGCGGGAACCCTAAAATTTGGAATCAAAATTAAGGGTGGAGTGTAGGATTGAGATATGGAGGTAGTTTTGAAAATGCATGATTATGTGTACTAAATGGTACTAAGTTTATTTAGATTGAGATAAAAAACATATATTTGAAAATAAAATTACTGTTAGAGCACAGGATTGAGACAGTGTTGAAAATTCAAACTTAAAGTACGAAAAGTACTAAATGTTACTAAATATGCTACAATTTGGATTTATGTGAACTGATAGGGCAGGGATCCTGAAATTTATGATTAAAATTACTGTTGGAGTGTGGTGAACGGATAGAGCTGGAATCCTTAAATGTGGACTAAAGGTTATTATTGGAGAACATGACTGGGGTAGTTTTGGAAGTTCGTACTTATGGGTACGAAAAGCACAACATTTGGTACAAATTGGACATTGGTAAATGGGTAGAATTCGAATCCCGAAAGTTGCAACTTAGGTTACTGTGGGAGTGTAGATTTGATAAAGTGAGGAATATAGATACGAAAAGTACAGAATGGTACCAAATCTGGTACAATTTGGTTTTTGATGAACAGACAGAGCTGGAATTCTTACATTTTGACTTACGATTACTATTTGAAATAAGGATTGAGGTATATTTGGAAATTCGTACTTATGAATACGAAAAGTACTAAATTTGGACTTTGGTGGAATTAAGATTACTGTTGGAGAGTAAGATAGATGTAGTTTTAAAAATTCTTACTTTTAAGTATGATGGTACAATATTTGGAACAATTTGGATTTGGTTGGATCCTGCGATTTAGAATTTAGATTACTGTTGAAGTGTAGTATTTAGCTATAGAGATAACTATGGAAACTCGAATTGATTTGTACGAATAGTAAATAGAATAGCAAATACACTAAATTACGATTTCGGCAACGGAATCACATTATACACAGAAAAAAAAGCCACCCCGAAATTCTTGATTAAAAGCTTCATCAGCGTTCGACAAAAAGATGTCGATAACATATTTCAAACGTAGTCGGAAATGTTTATCAAACACCAACAATTCACAAAAAAAACCATCAACAAACGAGTTTGACCAAAAAAATTATTAAATTTGTTGGACAATTTTTAATAATTTTTTTGCAATATGGCATATTATTTTTTATTACGTTATTACAAAGTACTTTGTTGAATAGATTGTAAAAGATGGATAACAAATATAAGTTTTTATTCGGTATAGAGCTACACATTTAGTTTAAAGTCGTTAAAATACTGAAAATTTTGAGGTATTTTTGTGGGAGAGCTGTAATAATAAGGGTAAAAATCGGCAATTGCTGTTTATAAGGTTTTGTATCGTACTACAAGAAATTTAATTTGAAATAATAATAATAATTTGATATACAAGATTGTCAATATGAAAAATATTTTATCGATTAACAAAATTAAATTCAACAAAATTTTTAGTATATATGAGAATTGCTTTATCAAAATATTTTCGAATGGGATTACAATTTTTTTTTATCGGCGATTGTAAATATGAACATTATTTTTATCGGCGAAAAATCAATCAAATTTTAATTGGATTTTTGATTTTTTTTATCAAATGGTTACAATTTTTTTCTGTGTATGCATAGAATCACATTCTATGTCGATTTATGCCTGTAAACAAAGTACAGGTGGCATTTATGATCCGAATTGGATGAAATTTGGCAAACGTCACATATTTGGCCCAAGGACGAACCCTATTAAAATTGGGAAAAATCTGTTCAAATATAGATATAGTTCCCATATATATTTTAGTCCGATTTTAGGTAAATAGTGCACCAAATTCCCTATATATCCTTCGATTTACACGAAATTAGGCACAGCGGGCTGAATTACGTCTAGAACGATGTGTGTTAACCATCGTGAAAATCGGTTCCGATTTAGATAAGGCTCCGATATATAACTTCGTCCGATTTAATGTAAATGGTGTACCAAAGTCCCTATATATCTTTCGACTAGCACGAAATATTGCATGGGGCACTTTACTACTTTCCTTACTGGTTTTAATCTGTTTAATGGAAGTAAGAGAAATTTCGGAAAATAGTGCTTATGTGCACTTTGCTAGTAAGCTATATAATGAGGTGCACCAGAAATTGTCCAGACTTTTGATTGATGTATGCGATGCGATTCTCTATACCTGTGCACCATATGTTCATATGGGCTTAAAACTTTTATTTTTATTACCCCTTACCCTTACCCCTCGGCGGACAATGCCATACATTCCCCACTAATAAATAGTTGTTTTTTTTTTATAAAAACAACAAACTGGGATTAAGCCTGACTATTTTGCAAAAACAAAATACAAATGGTATCCCAAATAACCCGCCAAACACTACTTTATTTTTATTCTTATGTGAGGGTCCATTTAAGTTTTTTATCTAAGTATAAACCAAGATATTTGAATTATTGGATTCCGGTATGCAATGTGATGTGAATATTGGTTAAAGAAACTGTGGATCTGGGGGCAAATCAAATTTGGGAAAGGTGTTGTATAGAGGGTATATTTGATAATGTGATATCATCAATATATTGATTAGTAGTCAAGAAATGTATAATTTGTAAAGAATGGTGGGATAATCAATTGCAATTCCAGAATATAATTTTTTAATCTCGGAATATTTCTGCGTTATGTTTACGAAAATATTTGTCATTTGTTGCCGTCCGAGGGGACCACCTCCCCATAACGTGGAGAGAACATACACAATACTGGCTACAGAATTAACATCAGCCAGTCTTATATTAGTAGGTAGACATAAAAAATTAACACAATAGTTTGGACAAACATGCAAAACAACATTACATACACAACTGTCTGGCAACTATACCACAATGATAGATGAATAAAATAAATTTTTATTACATGAGTGGTGTCAGAAAATTATACTCTGTTATACATATAAATTATTAAAAATTTCACATAAAGCGCGAAGTTAGTTCATAATTATGTCTAACTAGGGATACGTTAAGAGGTAAATAATTAATTGGTATACAGGAGAGAATATTAAATTTTATTTCACCGGTTAAAAAGTTTGAGTCAATTTGTCCACGTAACAATTTTATTATAAATATTGTTTTAAGCATTAATCGCCTTCTTTCATGAGTTGGAAGATCAATCAGTTTCAGACACCGACTACCAGTTTTGTGTAAAGGGATTATATAGCTAGATCTCCAGTGAAGAGGAAAATACCCAAGGGATAAGGAATAGTTAAATAAATCTGTTAGTGGTAAGTACAATTCATAAGCACAAGACTTTAGTATAGATGATGGGACACCATCTGGACCATCATAATTAGAAGTTTGTAGTGATTTCAGGTCATTTAATACCTCATCCTCCGAAAGTAAAAAATGTGGAAAATGATTTACCTTATGCATATGGTAGCTATTATTAAAAATAAACGGAAAGTTTGAATAATTGTCTTGGAAAAAATTGGCAAACATATTTGCAATATCAGAATTATTAAATGATCCCATAATACCATGTTTCATATCACCCTTAAAACATCAATTTGTGTTGGATAAAATGGAACTTAAAATATCAAAGTTGACTTTATTAAAATGTAATTTAAGCCTTTTGTATGCAGATCACAAAAATAGATAAATTATGCTGGAATTCCAGACTCACATTAAGCGTTGGGTGATATTTATCTTCCGGTTCAGAAAACGGAGACCATCTACATAAAGATATATTTATGAAAATACTAAATCTAATATTCCATCTTTAACGTTAGAGATATTATTTATTTATTATTTGATCAAATATTGATTCCCAGAACATAGCCATGTCAGAAGAAGTTGATAAGGTTGATGAAGTAGGCACATAATCGATATTATTGTCACCTAGAAGCCATGTTGAATTTGGCAAATTTAAGTCACCAAAATATGTGGTTGAGCAACGTACACTTGTGCTTACTTTTTCATAGCCACACTTAACAAAATAAGTGATTAAAATTGTCTATTTCAACAAACGAATGCCTTATATGTTATAAAACGTTTTTATGAAAAATTTTCATCCTGAAATATATGAATATACTGAAATTGACAAATGTTCTTAAGAGGAGAAAGAAGATTTATTACTATATTAATTAAAACTACAATGAATATTTTATTTTAAAAAATATGATTTTTTAATTTGTCGAATAATTAAAGACCAACTATGATCCCATTATTTAATATTAAACATTAAAACCATTACTAAATCCAATCAACATTACTGTACATTACTACAAATGCACACATACGTCAAATTTAATATGTCCCTGTCGCAACCATCACTGAAACGAACACATAATTCTTACAGTGCATTACAAATCCTCTCACCATTTTACTCTCATTTTCAAAATGAGCATCACTGGTTTATTGCTCCCTTCAAACCACTTTCAGATTGCGTAAACTATTGTTGTAATAATCCCTACACAGTTCGAAGACCAATTGTTTTTTTTTCTAATTCCGTTGAGTTTTGTACCTATTGAAGAAGAAATGTTGTCTACTGTGCATATAGAATTCTACTTACTTAATTTTTTCTTCGTCTCGTCTTGAGAAAAAAACGCTTCGCCTTAACATTAGCATTGGCTCGTCAAATGTTACTTGTGTAAGATTTCCATGACTAAATTTCTGAAGAAGCTTCGGCCACAATATACGTACAGCATAGGGTCGGTGATGAGCTTTGAGTTGAATTTCAAGAAGCGCACTTCCCATCCATAATCCAAATATACTTTGAGCTAATAATTTATTTGCTATTCCTAACTCTTCGCAACCTACGGTAGCTGCAAGCATAACTTGCGAAGGGCATTGCCCAGTTCCCTCGATCTCCATGTGTACAGCAATCCGTGACATTAAGTAGACACACGTTGGTATTACCTAAGAACATTCATAGAAAAATATTATATAATATTGTTTATTTTGTATAAAATTATTTTATATAAAATTATTTATTATGACGTACATATATGTAAAAAACTAATTCCAAAAATATATTCGTTAAGTGAGATTAATTTGAAATATAATTCCATTTGAATTAAACTAACTTGCACACTACTTATTACTTACTTATTTACTAGCTATTTTAATTTTGTAATTTTGATTTTTGATTCTCATACATCTGTTTTCCTTAAACTATTTTGCAATAATTCGATACAACTTACAAATGCATTTTAAATTTGAAATGCAACATAGAAATGCATTTAAATTTGAAGACTTTTTATAATAATATGTAGATGTTAATTAGAGTTATGATAGCTAAAATGCTGTTTCTTAAAAAACATCATTTAATTAACTGTAAAATAACATATCAACTTTTTTATGGTGTATTGGGGGTAATTTTTACTATGAGTTCTCAATGTACAGCCGCCCTCTCTGTTAAAAATTATTAATATAACGTTACCCCGGTTATATGGGGGTTACATTAGGATGTTGGCCGTGGAAAAATTTCTTATCGTCTTTTTAACCTCTTCGTTATAAATTTGAACGATGCACAGTGGTAGAAATTCAAATCTATAGGGAAAAATTCAAAAAATTAACCAATACTTATTTTAAAAACTTTCTTACAGTATTCTTATAGACATATTGGTGGACTCAAAAATAGAAAACAATATATAATTTTATTGTAGTTGACAATTATAAATTTACATTGATTTGGAGGTTTTGTTTGTGACCAGTGTTGCCAATTTAACATGTTGTGTGTGTTACAATTTTCTTAAAAAGTGGTAGTGTACTTCATATGGTGACTGCTTGTAAGTTGTTTATTTAGAAAAATGAAAAATCAAATTAAGCGTTAAGATGTAAAAATCATTTACCCAAATTGAAAACTTTCTGGAACAAATGTTTTTTATTCACCGGGAATCCAAATTGTTATAACTTCAGAGTACCGACAATGGGTCGCGTCATACTTTATATGAGGGGTTAAGTACGCAAATGTAGACCTTCGTCAAAATTGTTCGCATAAATATGTTATATCTTAAAAGAACCTCGAGAATGCTGCTAAAACCTTCAAAATACCGAAAATATGGCGGTACTTTTGTGTGAGGGATTTGTGCAAACCTTGACCTAGATTTATAACTGCCAGCCTCCAAAGCCCAGCAATGTCTTTGGTGGAGAAATGTGTAATGGCCTTCAAAATACCGAAGATATGGTGCTACCTTTAATGGTAGCTACCGATAATCATTTTTAGTGGGAAGAAATTATACTCAATTGCCATATAATGTGGGGTACTGCTCTCTGAGCTACCCCGAAACAAAGATAAATATTACTAATTCTTGTTAGGGCGATTTTCTGTCTAATCACAATTCAAAATATACAATTTTGGCCTCTTCGGTTGAAAAAAGTGCCTAAGGTCACCAAAACACCGAATAATTGAAGTACCGAAACAATTTTTTGTATGTAAATAGTTTCCCTGTAAAGCGTGAATTGCCCTAAAAAGTTGGTCAATATTGAAAATTCTTATTAGTAAGATTTTCTACCACGGGAAATACCAAATTACAGCAAATTAGGTTAAAAAACTATTACCCTTTCAAAAAAACTATATCTCCATACAGTTAATGGTGTTAGTGGTGATACGCGCGTGTTTGTTTAAATGTAGAAAATAGAAAATGCAAATAAATAGAACACAGTAGATTATTAGTATATATGAGAAATTACAAAATTCCATGACCACATTCATGATTTTTGGTACATTCTTTTAGATGATTGTTAAATATCGGTAGATCCTTCTGATACAAGTTTCGACTTTAAAAATAACTAATAAACAAATCAGCATTGCTATTGATGTAATTGATGTAAACCTTATTTATCCAACTAGATTTAAGTCTATGAATGCAACCCTTGCGTTCAAAATACTTTAAACAGAATTTTGTATTGCAGCAGATTTCATCGTTGGAGTGTTTTAAGATAAGGGTTTAAAATCTCACACGCAACGTTGATAAGGCTGTTGCGGTTGGTGTTGAGATTTTATGACGCACACTATGGGAAAACTCTCCACAGATAAAATGAATTAATTAATAAAATTATTAGTACAAATAGTTTATTGATAAGTATTGTGTATTTAAGATTAGGCTAAGCAAGAGTTGTTTATGTAGAACCTAAGGATAAATATTTTAAAATAAAATCAGTGCCTTACAACCACTCACATAGAACGGTCGGCTGTCCGTGTCTTCTTATTTGTTATACAGACGAGCTACGGCTGTCTGTGTATTTTAAATATTTTTGTTCCTTCTAAAAAACTGAGGTAAGAGACTCAGTTGAATCAGCGATTGGCTTTGGAAAAAAATATAGCAATATTGAGTGCGGAGCTCAAGTATTGCTAATTTTCTGTTCTACGAGGTGAACAGTTTTTTGTTAAAGAAAACGAAAAAATAAAATGGAGAAAGAGTTAGAGTTTTCCATAGAGTCTTGGGAGAAAATACTTGATGAAAAAGAGATTACGAGAATGTACAGGCGGTTTAATCGAGACGTACAGGAGTTAAACGCCATATGTGCATATTTATAGAAAAGAATACCCTTCCGGCCAGAAGGTCTACTAAAGGAATGGGTGAAGATTATTAAAGACAAGTTGGCTGAACTGAAGCAACTTGAATCCGAAATCAAGGATGAAAATATAACTGCAGATCTGGAGCAGGTGACCCAAGTGTGTGGAACCGTTGTAAAGGAAGTGGATGGAATCAAGCGGAATTATCTCGAGTTCTATTGTCCGGTCTACGCCAAGAACATGCAAATTTATGATTTTGCATTAGAGGAAATCCACAATGAAGTCGACTATGTAATTAGCAGATGTGACGACGCGAGACATAATTTGCCTAGCATGTCTAAAAACACGGCGCTAATTGAAATTGAGTCTTTGAAGAGATTGTATATGGAACTCACTCTGTTGCTTCCAAAACATGGAGGGAATTTATTCACAAAAGACATTGATGGTGACAGTCCACTAGTGCAGCAGAAACAAATAGAAACCTTGCAGTTTAGCGAGGCTGGATCTATGTGCCAGCTGAAGAAAAAGGAAGAAGACGGCACCGATCTTGAAAAACAGGAACAAGAAGTCGATCTACAGAATGAGGAGGAGTATTGTGATGTTTACTCCATAGACGAAGAAAGCAATATAGAAGGAAATAGTGATGTTGTCTACATGGATGTAAAAGCCAAGGAAGAAGTGATGTTTGAGGCGGAAAAGGACTGCAGTTCACTAATCCCCAAAGGTAATTTGAATTGTGTTAAATTTAATCACTTCTCCAGGTTTAGGAAGATGTTGGCACATAATAAATCATACGCAAAAACAGAAAAAGCTGTAGTCAAAATTGAAAACGATGAAGAAAGCCGCAAAGAAGCCAATGATGTGCATCAACGCGGGAAGAAAACTCCAGTTAATGAAGAGTGGAGGGAGAAATCGCTACAGAGAAATGCCTGGACGATGAAAGCTGTAGATGAAGGTGGAGGAAATTCTGATCGAGGCTCCATAGAAAATTGGCTGCGACGAATGGTGGGTGCTGTTACATAGAGGCTGACATTATTTATTATTTCCTTAATTATAGTATAATATAGTTTCTTATTAGTAATAATTAATATGTATTATGCTAGTACAATTCTTCTCACGTAGCTTTAAATTTTTATATGAATGTATGAGTAGATTTAAGAAAACAGCACAAGGGATCAATCTATTTAAAAATAAAATAAATGTTGTATTTGTCTTCCCTTTGTAAGTGGTCAGCATGTTCAAAATACTTTGAACAGAAATTTAATTTGTAAACTCTTCTTGCCAGTCGTCAGCATGTTCAAAATACTTTAAACAGAATTTTGTGTTGCAGCAGATTTGATCGTTGGAGTGTTTTAAGATAAGAGTCTAAAATCCCACACGTAACGTTGATAAGGCTGTTGCGGTTGGTGTTGAGATTTTATGACGCACAGTATGGGAAAACTCTCCACAGATAAAATTCTATTATTAGAACAAATAGTTTATTGATAAGTATTGTGTATTTAAGATTAGGCTAAGCAAGAGTTGTTTATGTAGAACCTAAGGATAAATATTTTAAAATAAAATTAGTGCCTTACAAACACACACCAAGAACGGTTGGTCGCCGCGTCTTAATTTATTATACAGATGAGCTGCGGCTGTCTGTATATTATTAACACCTTGTTTGAATTTAAAATGTAACTACAACACTGTAAATAATAGTAGAATGTTATCGATCATTTAAGAATATTATCGATAACGATAAAGATATTCTGTAACCCAGAAAAGGGTATAAAAGAGCGACGAAAACACAAGAAGTGACTCATTCCGCAATCTCCATTAAAACACGATACATTGTTGTATCCATCTGATAAGGTTGCGCAGAGTAAGAATAAATACCCTAAACCAACTCATTCCGCAATCTCCATTCAAATACGATACACTGTTGTATCCATCTGATAAGGTTGCGCAGAATCGTAATAAAGTCGGTATTTAAAAAATAGTCAAGTCGTTTATTTATTTATGAATCGCTACAAATTGCGAAGCAAGGAATTGCAGTCCAACATAGCCAACGGCTGTCTGTATATTATTAACACCTTGTTTGAATTTAAAATGTAACTACAACACTGTAAATAATAGTAGAATGTTATCGATCATTTAAGAATATTATCGATAACGATAAAGATATTCTGTAACCCAGAAAAGGGTATAAAAGAGCGACGAAAACACAAGAAGTGACTCATTCCGCAATCTCCATTAAAACACGATACATTATGTATATGATAAGGTTGCGCAGAGTAAGAACAAATACCCTAAACCAAGGAATTGCAATCTCCATTCAAATACGATACACTGTTGTATCCTCTGATAAGGTTGCGCAGAATCGTAATAAAGTCACCTGTTATTTATGAATCGCTACAAATTGCGAAGCAAGGAATTACAGTGCAACATAGCCAACGCCCCATCGTCATCTGGCGAGATTCCTGCTTCATTGACAGCCAACGAAAGCTCTTCTACATTGGCGCCCAACGTGGGGCCTGCTCGTAGGGCGTCACTGACATTCAAAGAGAGGTCTTCTACACTAAATATAATAAACTTACAATACATAAAATTATTAATATATACAAGCATGGAATTCGCGTTTTCGTTGAAGTAAGTTGTTGCGCATGCGGTTATTTTAAAAGAATTGGTTACGAACCGCGGATGTGCCGGCACGTAAAAAAAGCGGGGTTCCACGATATTTGAGTAGAACTTTTCAAATTTAGACTCAAAAATAGCTTTTTTTTAAAAATTTACGCACTAAATTTTCGTTTTTAGAATCCGGTTGCAAAGAAGATACAGTGAACACATTCATGAGATAAACACTCAACAAAGCATAATCACGAGTTCTACCATTTTATAATCTGTTTAGACCATTAACTGTTGGCGCGTCCTGATTATAAGAAAAATTCAAACAACACTGAAAATCCGATTTCAAATGTCAGCACTCTTTTTGCATGGACGCAGTGATAATTTGTCCGTAATTATACCCTTCACCACATTGTGGTACAGGGTATTATATCTTTTTGCATATTTTTGTAACAGGCAAAAGGAAACTGGATAGGCGCATGGTTCCTTTTGAGAATATTCATATAATCACTTTTTAAGTCGAATTATGCATGTCCATCAGTCTGTCCATGTTAAATTGTAAACATAGTACAGGTCGCAGATTTTATGTAAATTGTGAACCAAAGTACCTATATATCTTTCCATTTGCACGAAATTTGGCATAGGATACTAAATTAAGTCTATAGTGATGTGTGTTAAGTTTCGTGAAAATCGGTTAAAATTTAGATATAGCTCCCATATATATTTTCGTCCGATTTTAGGTAAATAGTGCACCAAAGTCCCTATATATCCTTCGAGTTGCACGAAATTTGACATAGCGTACTGAATTAAGTCTAGAACGATGTGAGTTAAATTTCGTGAAATCGGTTCAGATTTAGATATATCTCCCATATATATTTTCGTCCGTTGAGAGAAAAACAACAATTGAAAAAAAAAATTCTAAAATGTTTAAAACCAGATTTTTGTAAAACATTTCCAAATAATAAAATACTTACATTATGCAAGGATCGAGCATTTAACGTTGATTGTTTACTTGAATAATTCGATATTGTTTTTGACGAATAAGTTACCACCAATGAACTACATGGCTCAGTATCAGATAATGTGTTTAGCATTTCATTTGAAATGGAACCTGAAAAATGAAAGTTTTATATAAAGTATTGATTGTCGTTAGTAATTACAATAAAATTTGTAAAGCTTGAGGTCTTTGTTAATTTATTAATTATTGATAGTAAAACATTCCCGCTATTTCAAGATTGGTGGCGTAGGGGATGTTAGATACCAAGCAAGAGCTCTGATTGGCTTTAACATGGCGAAGTCCAGGCTTGGTCCATCTTTCATCTCAATTGTGGACACTGACCTCCCCGCGGTGCCGCCTGGGGAACTATGAAAAAGAAAACCAAACCCCCCCTAATGTTGACGATCCCCGCAAACGTATAAAGGACCACGATCTGCGAATCTGCACTTGGAATGTGCGCACGTTGTACAGAACAGGCGAAGTATTCGCTTTGGCGGATGTACCCAAGAAGTACAAAGCCGATATTATTGCCTGACAGGAAATGCGATAAAAAGGGACAGCCTTATAAATAAAAGACCTTGTCTCCAGATTCAATCAAATAAATGAGCGAATTGCTATAATCCGTATAAAAACGAAGTTCTTCTACATCAGACTCATTTGCGCCCACGCTCCGACCGAAGATAAAGATGAACAGACCAAAGACATATTTTACGAGCGCCTAGAAACAGCATATGACCGTTGCCCTGGACATGACATTAAAATTCTGATAGGAGATTTTAATGCAAAAATCGGAAGAGAAAATATCTTTGGCCCCACCGTCGGAAAATTCAGCCTTCATGAAGAAACATTCGACAACGGCCTGAGGTTGATTGACTTCGCGGCAGCAAAAAACATGGTAGTTAGCAGCACCAAGCATCTCGATATACACAAGTCCACCTGCATCTCTCCTGATCAAGCAAAGGGAAATCAAATTGATCATGTTGTGATAGACGGAAGGCATTCATCCAGTGTTTTAGACGTCCGATCGATCCGAGGAGCGAATATCGATTCGGACCATTACCTTGTGGCAGCCAAGGTACGCACCCGTCTTAATGTAGCAGCAAAGGTGCGATCTAACACAACACGGAAACTCGACGTCGAAAAGCCGCAAACACAACAGATAGCCGAGGCCTGTGTCCCGTGCACAAAAAAGGAGGCAAGACGATATGTGCCAACTATAGAGGAATAAGTCGCCTTCCCATCGCATATAAAGTGCTATCCAGTGTGCTGTGTGAACGATTGAAGCCAATGGTCAATGACATCATTGGACCATACCAATGCGGCGTCTCACTTACATACTTAGCTGGCTTGTTACAGAACGGTTGTTCCATAAGCCGAGCTTAAAAAAGATTTCCAAGCGCGTCGGTCTTGTG